CGAACCCGGCGGCACCCGCTGGCGTCACTCACCCATCGACAGAGCGGACGCCTCCTCCAGCTTGCGCACCATGTTGAAGAAGGATGTCATGATCTTCCTCGCCGCCCGGCAGTAGAGGAAGTAGAGGGTGATGAGGCCCAGGAGGGTGCTCATGGTGATCTGGGGAAGGGCTGCTTTTTGGGGGCTTGGGAGGACAGCCACGGGCCAGAGAAGGGTGCTCAAGGCACCTGCTGGCTCCTGGGGGGCCGCGGACACCTTCCTCGTGCTCTTACCTTCATGAAATACAACCTCCTGGTGGAGCTGAGCTGCAGCCCATGCACGTGGATGACAAACTCCAGGTTGTAGTCGCAGTAGGTGGACGTGTCCACATCTCTGCCGGGGAGCAGGCACAGGGGAGCTCAGGATCTGGGTGCTGACCTCCTGCCTCAGCCCCCCACGCTGATCCCGTGCCCTGGGTGTGAGCTGGGCACCCCATGCTGGTGCCCCAGCACTCACCTGTTGGACACCACCACCAGGAAGAAGTAGTTGGGGGTCATCAGCCCCTTGGGTGCTATGTCGTGGCATGGCGAGTCCCTCTGGCACAGCCATCTGCGGGACGGCACAGGGTTGGCGTCACCCGGTGCTGGTGGGGGACACGCTGCTGTGCGTGGCTCCCCTTCGCCGCAGCTTTCTGAGGGGCTTGGGGCCGGATCCCTGCACGCGACCCCGGAGGCACAGCTTATCGCTCCTTCCCCAGCAGAGAGGCTGACGGCAAGCTCCCAAGTGTCCCCAGCTCATCCCAGGGTCGTGCTAACGCTTACTTGATGCCGTTATTTGTGTTGGAGTGAATGGGGTATCCTTGGGGATTGGTCTCGGACACCCCTCTGCCGGCTTTCTGCCATATCAGGCTCGATTCTGTGCTGGGAAGAGAAGGAGTGGGGTTCGGAGGGTGCTCGCAGGCTCCCTCTTTTCCTCGCAGTCGCTATCAAACTGGGTGCGATCGTCCTTGGCTGCAATGAGGAATGGGCTGGAGGCCCGTGACGGTGAGGAGAGACGTCGTGGGCCCAAGAACGCTCTGCTCGGACATTCCTGGATCCAGATATCCTGATGGCCATCAGCTGTCCTGGGATGCCTGGTGCTGGCCTGGTGCCCGGGGCTGTAGCGGTGGAGTGGTTACCTGGCATTGTCTATGTTGTACTTCCAGATGTCTTCAGGTTTGTAGCGTACGATGGCCGCCTCTGAGTCCGGGGCACCACCGATGACCTTCAGCGTGTACCTGGCAGGCAGAAACCGTCTTGGTGAGGGTCTGACACCTGCAGTGAAGGGACACCCCCATCCATGCCACCCCGCTGCCTGTGCTCGACTCTCACCGTCCCAAGAAGGACCCTGAGTCCCCTGTCACCATGTCCTGGATCAGGAAGAGAGGGTAAAACACTGCAGGAGGAAAGCAGGGGGAGGATCAGAGGACCCTGACCTGGCACGGAGGGTCCTGACACCTCGTCCAGCCACTCGGGGATGCAGGGTGGAGGCAGGAGCACTGGGCTGGTCCCCGGCACAGCCTGTGACCTCCTCCCCTGTTCCCAACTCGGGGAACCCTACCGTCCTCGAAGAAGAAACAAGGCATCTCGGGGTTCTGGCTCAGGCAGTTGAAGTAGCGTTTGTTCATGTTGATGTTGTGTTGGATGGTGTTGGTGATGTCGAAAGCAAGGCGCTTGCCCGGTGGGCAGCCGATGTACACTGGCACCATCCTGTAGCCCTGCGAGGCAAAGGGAGATGGCAGCGATGGAGCTCACTCTGCCTGGGGCTGGTGCCTTCCCTCGGGACTCGAGATGAACCACAGTCTCCTCATGGTGGGGACTGCAGCAGGGTTACCTGCAGGGCCGGCCCTGACTCCGAGTACTCATAACAGTTTATCGCTGAGTTTACCACCTGGGAACAGTGAAATCCAAGAGGAACCAATGTGAGGAGCTGACCGATGCATGGCAGAGCTGTCCCCAGCCCCACAAGGCTCATGTCTGCAGCTCAGGGACCCTGAGCCATGCGGGTCTGGAGCTGAGCTGAGCTTTGCCTAGGCTATCAGCATGCTCAGCTGTGCTCCACCAGCTGCCTCTCCTACCTTTAGCACCATGGAGCTCTTCAGCAGGTTCTTCCCACTGAGTTCTTGCTGTGGGTACCGTGCTGTGTCCCGAATGCTCACCTGTGGAGAGTTGATTGGGATGTGGAGGAGGAAGAGGAGGATGAAGAACCTCCCTTAGGCCCAGAGAAGCCACTTGGCTTTTTGCTGACAGGCAGCTTTGCTTGTCTCACTTGCAACAGCAGGATGTGCCATGGGGAAAGGGATTGGCAGGGAGGTCTGCAGCCTAGGGGGTGGGGAAAGGGATTGGCAGGGAGGTCTGCAGCCTAGGGGGCACCAGCTGGTGGTCCCTGCGCTGGTACAAGGTCCCCTCTGTGCCCAGGTGTACCTTATAGAGCACTGAGGCCCGGTTCACCAGGTCCTGCCTCTGGAGGAAGAAGTCCAGGTTGGAGGGGTGTGAGAGGACCACTGTGATCTTCATGTGGTTGAAGTTCTTCTCCCGCACTGCAAAGCGAGCAAGCCACCTGGTGAGACAGCAGCTCCCCGCTCTCACGGCAGGATCCTGTGGTGCAGATGAGCCTCCAGCTCTTGGCTGGACCTCGTGCTCCTTCCCGTACCCGGGGTGACGGGACCTGCCTGAGGCTGGGTGCTTGCCCCATGTGCCAGCAGGTTCCCCCTGAGATACCAGGGAGAAGAGCAAGGCTATTTGGGCCTTGCTCTTGCCGCAGAGCAGCTGCAACAGCGGGGTCTTTTTTGCCTTGTGTCCCCCGCCATGTCTTGGCTAGGCCCTCAAAGGCAGGCCAAGAGGCTTCCCCTTACTGCGTTCTGTGGTGGAGCGGATGCTGAGGGATACGGAGAAGTTGTACTCGTCACCCTTGTCCAGGTAGATCTGCTCCGGCAGCTTGTTGTTGGAGTGCAGGTCATAAATCTTCACATAGTGCTCCATGTTGATGTACAGGCCTCCCGGGGAGCTGCCCGTGCTGGCCAGGTAGAGGTAATAATCCTGCAGGAGGGAAAGCGTTCCCTGTTCCAAAAGTGGCCGCGTAGAGCGTCTGCAGGGAACCAAACCCTCCTGGGGGCTGGTTTTCCCCCGTGGCTGTGTTGAGGCTCTTGTGGGGCTTCTTTCCAGGACTCACTGCATCTTGCTTTCTGTTTTTCCACCAGCGCCACGTTGGGTCATGGACGGGGTCAGCGTAAGGCTGAAAAACAGCAGGACAGAGAGCTGCAAGCCTGGCTCTTCCTCCTCCTCCAGGCATCTGCATCCCCAATGCCCAAACAAATCCCCTGTGATCTCTTCCCCCCCC